GGTGAAGAGACTGAGATTGTACACAGCTTTAGTTTGCTTGGCTCCATAGTCAACAGTCTTGGCACCAGCAGCCAGGAAATTAAAAGGCGCAATGCCATAGGAAAGTCTGCTGTTAGGGACAAATTTAACATGTTGTAGTTGTTGTGGATCTTTAACTCAGAACCAACCCATAGCTGACTCTCTGGTGGGTTTTCAGAGGCGGTTAACAACACAGGAGGAGAATGCCCATCTTTCTTCTACAGAGCATCTGGTGGATTCAAACCACATGCCTTAGGGACTAAAATGTAGCTTCTTGCCATTAGGCCACCAGAGCTCCGTAATTTAACACAGCAATTTTTAATAAGCTGCTGTAACTAATGTCCTCACTTAAGTACCTCTTCTAGAACAAAATTCTCAAAACCATTGCTATCAATTATGACTTGGCTCACAGTTAACCTCTAGTGAGAATTTGGAGGAAATAAATCACACTGGAGATGTTCCCCCACTGAGTCAGTTACCTGTGGATTTGAAACACCAGAAAGACCCTGTCTTTGAGTCAGCAGTTCAATGCTCCACAGACTCTGCCACCAGCCTCTCAAACAGACAGACTCGAGGCAGTTTTCACCATCGCTATACACCAATGCGAAATCAGTCAGGGAAGCTAAGATATCTGGCAATCCTTCACTCAACATCTCCTTTCACAATGTGGCCAACTTAAGGATAAATCCTGCATCAGATTACTACTGTGAAAACAGAAAAATAACTGAGCAAGAGCTGTAAAAACGTTCAAAAGGGGAGTGGGGAGAAAGTGGTGCAGAAGAAGAGGGAGGGGAGAAAATCACTGGGATAGAAGAGGATAGTGGGTGGAGGAGGGAGTGAAGGAATAGGAAAGATTCAATGGGGACTTGGAAAGACAGAATGATAATAGGCATAGGTCAATGGTAACTAAGTATATAAAATACAATGTATATAAATATTTGCATAAAACATAACGTAGAAGAATTAAACACAATGTATACGAATTTATAAATCACAAAGTTTATGTATGAGACTATACATGTGAATGATTATATGCGAACCAATAAAAATGAATGAAATTATCTATCAATACTCTCTGCAGTCAGGCTGACCCTGAAGTGCATGCAAAGTTTCTGGAGAAAATGAGGTTTGAATTAGTACCACAGGAAATCCAAGAAAAGTTTGATCTATTCTTTCCATAAGATAAATATTTGGCCAAACTGATAAAATACTGAAGTGCTTTCTAATAAAGGAACTATCTGCAGAACTGAAAATTCAGTACAGTAGAAGTTAATATTTTAAAAAAGAAATAAATTTTAAGACTTTATTGAAAAGAAACATGTTTGAAATGCTCCCACTGGGGCTTCTATGATAACAAATCTCTTATCTCTGTAGACACACCATTGGAATAAACTTCATGTTCTTTTCCATAGCTACTTTCTCTAGGTCAGTCGACGTTCATATGACAGCAAGGAAGAAAAAGGGGGGAAGTGGAGGGAATCTCCATATTTTGTTTAAAATGGGAATGAGAAAGAAATGAGATGCAGAGATACTTCATTTCAATTTCATTTCTCTAACTATATTTTAAACACCTATTACTTCTACAAACAAATCCCCACACTATTATTCGATATCCCTCTGTCCTACCAAATTCTTTCAACTCTCAAACACGAAGCAATTATTGTTCTCCTTCTTCCATTTTCTGCACTGCTGCCCTCGACCACAAATTTTCAAGTCCAGGAATCTTTCCCCACACCTGACTTCTAAACTTAAGATTCTCTATAATTATGGAAACTCTACCTGTGGTCATAAAGTTATGTTAACAGAGCTTATTAAATGTTTTAATAAACTGGATGCTTTTCAAGTATTATTTCTTAGACATGCTGATCTCTTTTCTATTCCTTTCAGTGCCTTACATTAGTGTTTCCATTAGTAGTAATAAATGTAGACAATTTTTACAATATAATTTTACAAGTTTAGTCTATATTTATTATAATAAACAATTTTCACAACCATAAAAGAACTAATCATTTGAAGTTACTTAATGCCATTTTCCCTCAAAAAGATGGGTATTATCATGGAAATAATTCCTCTTTTAACATCTGAACTAAATCAAATTGCCTTAAAAATACGGCTTATTGTAAATCAGTCCATTATCTATTACCCCTAACATCCCAAATTATTAAGCACTTACATATTGTCTAACTGCTATTCTAACTGCATTGTAAGGCTCTACTTTCATCCTCTGTGTTTCACAAGACGGCAGTTAAAAGATCACATAAATGGGAAGCACCTCATTATGCAATATCCATTATTATCATTCAACTTTATATATTCAACTGATTATAGCATATATCATTTGTAATATTATTTCTCAACATTGGAACAAAAGTAGAGACTTACCAGACATTTGTATTTCTTTTCAAGAAGTCTTAGTAGAACAGTTCTACTATAATATGCATGCTAAAATTAGGGAGAAAATGACATTTTACTCAATATTCAAGCTATACCACTCAGAATCTATTTTCTTACATCACTTCTAATAATTACATAATTACTCAGTTATTACTTAGTTTTACCAGTAACTTAGTTTTACATTCTTGTCACCAGTGCTAACCAGGCTTTTCTACGTGCACTAGATTAGTACCACAGCAATCACAGGAATGCAAATTATATAAAACTGTGGATCATTTAATATTTGACCTAAAGCACTAAAAAACATTCTATCCTTCTAGTGTGTTAAATTTCCATTCTAAACTATTTTAAAACAAATATCCAAACAATTTATCTGACAACCAGTCTATAAAAGTGTCCAAAGAAAACAGTTGCTGTTTTTAAATCACAATGTTTGTAAAGTAAAAATGTTTTAAAACTCACAATCTTTATGTGGAAAAGACTAGCTGCAAAGACATAAACTTGCCAAGGTTTGAAATGCTCCAAAGGGAAATATTTTCATAATTTTCTGCCAATCATATTTATTAATACTTCAAAGTATCAAAAAAGATTTTGTAATTTTGACCTTGGAAATGAATACAGATGGGATGAAAATATGTCTTTTACGTACTCTTAAACTGGGAATGGAAATATGCAGAAATTTTATTCCTCTGAATTAAGTTAGGTATCATTTTTACTTGGTGTTTTCATTTTACTTATAAACAAAGAAAAAGTAGTAACTGGAATAATGTGAAGAAAAATCTCTAACTGAATTATGAAGTACAATCTTTAGTAAATGTTTTGGTAAACTGTGGGTTAATAAAAAAAAATTAAGTGTGTTTTAATACAGGTGGTTTTAAAGTATTTCCAAAACTTGGCAAAATACTGGCTAGGAGCTGGGAGTGGGAAAAGAGGTGCTGAGGAAGTTGAGAATGTCTAAATATTGTTTTTTATATGCATTTTAGTTAATATTTGTGTGTTAAAGGACAAACAGGTTTCAATACCCAAAGTATGTTAAAAATAGAGGTAGTAAAGCAGTCTTTATAAATATCCTTTTGTTTAAAGGAAAGACAGTGACCTTTGTTAATTCACCTCTTGAAGCTGGATGTATTTCAGCAGTCACTGAAATGGTAGAAGAAGAGGAAAGGTATAGGAAAGACCTTTTGGCTAGTAACTCCATATCTAGAAAAGTGTCTATTATGTACATTGTTTTATAAAGTACCTTGTTTATTGTGGACAATTTTAAAATTTAAATCTTTTTTTGCAGCATCTAAGCTTTTTAGATGTCTCGAGATGATAATGTATGATATAAAGCAATGCTAATGAGTTAATCAATTTGTAAATATCTTTGCTATAATAGAAAAGCATCTTGGATATGAAGTTGCTATAACCCCTCTGTGCAGTGTCCACGCAGGTTGACTACTTGGCTGCAGAGGGGTGGAAAGATACATAAGTGGAGGAATGTGTGCACACGTGTCCATATTTGCACTTTTACAGTAGCCATCATATAAGTATATATTTCTTGTCTTACTGTAGGAATACATTGTTAAATTTTAATAAAGATATGACAGCTATCTTAGAAGTATTATACTCTATTCCTTTATGTTTCTTTTAAAATACTCATTAAAAGAATATAGTATTTTAATTGCAGCTCAGCCAATATCTTTAACTAGAGGCATGCACCATTTTTTGTCTTTATAAAATGTTTGCCCTTCCTGAGACAGTATAATGTATTCTTGGTTGTCAAACTACTCATGGCTTTGGTACTTTGAATTTATAAATACCTGTAATGAGTGAAAAGCATGAATCCATACTGTGTGACTTCAATCACATAAAAATCTATACTTGCTTGTGTGTGTGTCTATACACACACACATAAAATGTAAAAGGACATATACTAATCATCAAGATGATTGTGGGTAGCTTTTGTGTAACTTCTCTGCTTTTCTATTTTCTATAATGCGTATGTTTTAAAAGTTTGAAGAGAAAAAAAAGATACTCTTTTAAAAACCTGCATAAGGTCTCTATTGCTAGTAGAATAAAGTTAGCCAGTCACATCTTAAAAAAATCCAGAACTCATTCATTTCTTTTAAGTTTAACAAGAGAAATATATTGTTCTACATTGAAACGATTTTTAATATTGGTAATGTCTGGAAAAAGAATGTCTGGAAAGAGAATAAACCTTACAATAGAGTGAGCAAAATGGCCCTCAAGCCAAATTCTATCTGCCACTTAATTTGGTTTTTCCACTTTGTCATTGTAATTTCAGTGAAAATTTACAATGCAAACTGGTTTCCCATCCAGCAATTCATACACATTGTTTCATGACAATGATTACAATTCCTACAATGTGACAACATTCTTCCCACTTCTTTCCTGTGTTTCTTGGTCTCATCTGTCCTTCTTTCCTATCTCTTCCTGCACTCTAAGCCTTAGCTATGAGAAAATATTACACTTTTGATCTCATATAGTTGATAGTTTTAAAGAGTACTAAAGAGCATTCCTCTTACTGCTATCAATCACCTTACAGGCCTATTATTGGCTAAAAGTTGACAAAGTGATTTCCGTTTCAGGCTTGAAGGATGATTCAGGCCACAGTCTTGAGAGTTCTGCCAGTCTCTAACAGATGTTTTATAATGTTGTATTTTTATTTCACATTTTCCTCCTACTTTATCAAGGACCTTCTTCTATGTTCCCTTTCAGAGTGGTCTATCAGAGACTTTCTTTTATGATCGCTTTCAGAGCAGTCAGTAATGGCATCTGGGCACCATCTAACTTTCTGCCATTTGATTTTTGAAAAAGAAGATTTATGGGAACAATATATTCAGTCATATGCATATTATTTATGACCAATTTTAGCTACAGTTAAAAACTGAGTACTTATAATAGAGATAGAATATCCCATAAAAGTAAAGTTATTTACCATCTATACCTTTACAGAAAGTTGCCAAACTGCCTCAGCTTTAAACAGAATGTAGGAAAATGTGATTAATGTGCATTAATACTAAAACACATTTAGCAAGCTGACTTTTTAAGAATTTTCTACTGGTGACTTTTATGATGTATCTCACTCTATAATGAGCTTTTTTAATGTTGTGCCATAGTACTTGATTGTCAATAAAAAAGTTATTTACAATTAGTATATGTTTTCACCTTTTTAAATGAAAAACCTGAACAGATAAATATTATAATATATATTATGATATCATTATATAATACAAATCTTAATAGTCATCATCCTTATTTTGTAGAATTATATTTTATTGTTATTTGTGCTTTTATATTTTACATATCTGCTATAATAATGGCACAATTTGACAATAAAAAATTAAAAAGAAAGTCAGGCATTGGATATGAGGTAAAAATGGCTCAAACTGCTTTAATTCAATTAAATTCCTTAAGCATTTTTCTCACATGCATAAGTCAGGTAAAGGCCAAGTGCTAGATAGAATTTTTTCTAATTAAATAGACATGTAAAGTTTAGACAACAAAAGGAAAAAATTAATCATCAATGACTAAATTGGGCTAAACAGTAAAAAAGCACGCATCTAATTTTCATGCCAAGTAACGGCCCCACCCTCTCCATTTTTCACCGCTGAGCTAGAATAAACTCAGAGCTAACCTTTTCGAGAGCTTTCAGAGGCATGAAAAGAGATTGTGCATCTTTCTCTTGCAGAGCAGATGCTGGATTACAACTGTGTGCCTGTGGATTGGCAGCACAGGTCCTTGCCCACTAGGCCACCAGAGCTCTCCAACACCCAGCAGCAGGTAGAAGGAGATGGAGACACGAAAACACAAGCCACGACTGCTGGAAACAGACCTCCTATCCAACAGTAAATGAAGGAGGCAAAAATCTTGATACTAATAATGTTAGTTTTAGATCTGGGACAATTGTGAGCTCCATAGGAAGCAACTACCAATCAAAGATCAGAATACATCCTTCAAACCTTCAACTTCAGGAGGTGCATATTTCAAATATTTTTCCTAAGCCACAGAAAAACAAGGATGAATTTGTATGTATGTGCCAATATATCTATTTACTAAATTTTAAGCTTATAAAAATAAAGAAAATTGGGGTTTGTATAGTTCACATAGCAAAAGAATTACTACTTAATATTGACTCTTTTACATTATGAAATTGGAGGTACTAATATTACTGAATACAGAATTTTTTTTAAATCTGTATTAAGATTTTAGAACAGTTTTAATAATAGAGATTTTTAAAATACGTTATCACGGAAAATGAAATGAAAACCTTTGCACAAAATAAACAAATATTATCTTTAAAAAAAAATAGAGCAACTTACTGAAAGGTATAAAAATATATTCTACTGCTCCTTACCATCCACTTCTTGAACCACACAGCCTTTGCATCCACTAATGCAAGAAAATAAACTGGATCCAAAACCTTTTGTGAGACAAGATGGCTTTGATCATGTTTAACTGACAATAATGACAAAGTGCTCTCCACAATTTCCTCCATATACCTTAAAGTTTGGGGGAAAAGGTGATTTTAGAAATAAATATATATTCAGGACAATAATTATATATAGATTACATTAAACTCAATACATGACATATTCAAGATAATAATGGTATTCTGAGGCACAGGCCTAGGGAATCGTGCTGCTAATACAAAGGCAATGTGAATCCACTCTGCAGCAGAATGAGGAAGTCTCCTCCAAGGCGATTTATAGCCTTGGAAACCTAACAGAAGGTTAGATATTAGTCAGTTCCAATTCCAAAGCAATGAGTTTGAAATTTTTTATAGCAATATAGTTCATATCTGCAGAATGATAGTTACACATGATCTTTAAAAAGTTTTTTAATATTTCAGTTAATATCAAAGTTGGCATCATATCCAATTTTTTGTGCTTCAAAATTTTATGTTCCCTAGCATAAATCTGTATTATTATCAATACATTTTAGTAATTTCTTTCATCACAAGAGTAATTTCTCTATATAATGTAAAGTTTATTGTGTCAAGCGTTTTACCAAAAAACAAACAAACAAAAAAACACAACACAACTTCATGTTCATAGGAGCATTATTCACTAAAGCAAGAAAATTGAAACAATCCAAATTGTGGTACAAAACATAAAGGAATTCTATGCAGCACTCAGGAGCAATGATTTTGGAAAATACCATAAAAAGAAAAATACTATATGAAATAGCAAAGGATGGAGAGCATTATGTTGAGTGAACTAACTCAGTCTCATATGTACAAATATTGACCAATATTGAAATAATAGTAACATCACTAGTAAGGTGTGTACAAAAGTCCAAAGGGAGATGGAGGAGGGATGCAGAGGGTTGAGGGAGGGAAAATCACCAGGTCACTGAGTCTGGTGGGCAGAAATAGGGAGTAAAGGAATTAGGAAAGACCCAGCGAAAACCTGAAAAGGCAGGATAATAGTGGTCATGGATCAGTGGTGATTAATTTTATAAAACACAATGTATGGGAATGATTGTGAATGGGAATGAAACACAACATAGAGAAATTTGCAAAACACAATATATGTAAAACGAAACACAATGTATATGAATTTGTATGCGAACTAATAAAAAATAATTGTAACTATGCTTTAATTATTATTACTTCTTGTTCTTGTTGTTGTTGCTGTTATGTACTATCAAGTCAAAACCGACATATAGCTAACCCTCTAGCAGGTTTTCAGAGGCAGCAAACAGTACAGAAAGAGACTGTCCACCTTTCTCCTGTGGAGCGGCTGACGGATTCAGAGTGTACCTTTGCATTACATCTTCTCCAAATTTAACTTTTATAAACTCAAATGTTAATATAATCTTATTAAAATGTTTGGTGTTGAAAGGAAAAAGCTTAAAAGACATTTATGAAACTTCTCAAAGTATCAAAGATCAATGAAAGAATCTGCAGCTACGATATCCTTTTTCATTGTGCTGTGATAAATACTGTAAAATGGTATAAAGCAAGTCATATAACTATATATACACAAAACAAAAAAACTAGCTACAGTAAATCAAATCAAAAAACTGTCTCTACTCAGCTATTTTCTCTAAAAAGTACATGGGCCAAAGATACTCCCTTGTTTTTTTGTTTTGTTTGTTTAGTCATAGATTAAGGAGACTTACTTCTCTGGATGACGAATCCAAAAAGAGGGTACCTCTTTCTGATACTCGTTTAGAAGTCGAATCTACAGCAAAGCAATAAGCAACAGATTTTAGGAAACAGTTTCTTAAATGTACAACAGCTTAATAAAATAAATCTAAATTATGGCTAATAGATACCTTTTTTAAATTTTTTTTTTAATAGATACCTTTTTAAGTAAACGAGTCACATTCGGATTAGTCACATCTACACCCGTTGAAAGAGTAGGAATATGATTTTCTCTAGAAAGAAAGTACAACTCCAAATGTTTAGCTGAAAAAAAAAGTAAAATATAAAACTATCATACTATTCATTTAAAGTGATTCTTGGAAAAAGATATATTTTTATTGTACTTCTTCTAAAGTACACACAAAAAAGGGAAAGAATTTAATAAGTGATTTCATAAACATACCTAAGCTTGTGTAAATTTCTTTTGTCATGTGTAAAGGTGAAAGTGTAAATGTCTGTGCATAGAATTTTAAAATCCGGTCCTGTGAAAGAAAATGAAACAAGAGATTTGCATCTAGGATTTTTATAAGAACAATGACATAAAATAAACATCGTTTAGACACTGGGAAACTTGGAAAATAGGTCATTCAGAAACTCGAATAGGGATGTACCTGTATGAAAAAAGGATATATTATTGTATTGATCTACAAAAAATAAAATGACCAAAACTCATAATAAAAGCAATACATTCGTGTAACGTTGGCTAATAGCAAGCACTGACATTAAAAGATGGAAAGCTAAAATTTGAGCAGAGGAAGTCATAAGGTAAAGGGCCAAGGAAATGAGGAAGACAATACTAAATTTTTAAAAACCACTCTTTTCCAAATCCAAGGTTGGTTGGTTAGTTTGCTTTTTAATTGTTCACACAGGTAAGTTTAGTAATTAGATATTTAGGATTCTCAGTTAACAACTTTAAAAATAAATTTTCTAACACTATTAATTTTCACTTTAAAATTTTACTTAATTAAAACAAAAATGAAAATTTTCCTAAAGTAAATGAATTCTATAAAATAACAGATATAAAGTAAGTCTGGCACTAGTAAGTTTTGTAAACTGCCTCCCTGCTATCAGTGCCATCCAGTGGGCTCCAACTCACAGTGACCCTAAAGGACAGTGTAGAACTGCCCTACAGAATTCCTAAGGCTTTCAATATTTAAAGAAACAGACTGTCTCATCTTTCTCTCATGAATGGTTATTGTGTTTAAAATTTCAGCATTTTGTTCAGTAGCCTAACATTTAACTATTATGCCACAAGGATTCCTTTGGAAAATTATTACTTATTTAATTACATCAACTTTTTAATACCAACTTTCATTTTACAGTATAATAAAATCTAACAGTGAAATAATACTTTCCATTTAATAAAAATAAGACAGTCATTCCAAATTTTCTATTCTCAGAAAACATACGTCAGTTAACAAACTTGCTTTTAGAAAAACAATGAGCATATATGTTTAACAGAAATGATTCCTCAGCAGACTAAAGATAATTTTAAAGTCCTCAGGAAATTCCTACTGATCAGGAATGTCAACTGTACCCTGAAGAGCCTCTTTATACAGTTTTAGCAGTTGGTAAATATCTGTTACACTCCACAACTACAGGCTTCACTGAATTATATGCAACAGTCCTTTAGAGTAGGAAATGAAGGAATAGAATCAAAATAAAAAATAATTTGAATCAAGGACAAATTCCAAAAAAAATACCATAGTACTTGTTTTCTACTCCAAAATGTTTAATTCTGTTCTTATTTACTCAACTTAAGTAGTGACACTGACCTTGTTACATAATTATATACAATAGTATTATTTTCTAAAATGGCTAACTGAAACAGCTAAGTGATCTACTGGGCTCTCACCATGTTTATAAAGTTGCTGAATAAATTTCTAAGTCACTAAAGAAAATCTCTTTACTCAATATTCCATCTTTAACAGTGTAATTAAATACAATTTAATCATAAAACTCTACTTTTGTAGTAAAAAAAAAAAAATAAAAATCGGGCACAATTCCAACTGGCTTTTTTCTTTAGAGAGGGCTGAAAATGTTAAAAAAGTTGACCCTGAAGCATCATTTTTCTCCTCTAAAGTTCTTGGATCACTGAGTTTCTAACAAGTCTGCATCACCCTCTGGTGTTTGTACAGTTGAACTGCATCCAGGTGTTAGCTAACGAAATGTGTATTTTGCCCTGCCCAAAGCAGTAGTTAAGCTTGCTAGGCTAAGACCTAAAACACAGTGGTTTGAGTTCATGGGAGAACAGTATGGCAATCTCCTTCCAGAAAGACTTATATAAGATGTAGTCCTATAAGGTAAGGTGTTGGAATTGACTTGCTGGTAATGGATTTGGTTTGGGGCTTTCCTTTTTACCCTTATAAACAAATTACAAATACAGGTTGATTCCAAACAATTTCTTTTTACTAATATAACTGTCACTTCATTGACTCCACAGTGTGCTTTTAACCAGACAAATGTATTAAAACACTATGTCTGTTTCTGTAACCATGCATTTTATCGTGCTTCTTCACTTCACTGAGCATCACAGCTGAGTGTTTTACAAATTGAAGATCTGCATCAAGCAAGTCTATAGGCACCATTTTTCCAACAACATGGCCTCACTTCACATTGATGTGTCATATTTTGGTAATTCTCATAATATTTCAACTGTTTTCATAATGCTATGTTACACTTAATAAACTACAGTAGAATGCAGTTAAAGCTTTTCATGAACCAGAAAACCAAACAATAATTATGTGACTCACTCTACTGTAATATTTACAATTTGCATATCTCTGAGGTATGCCTGTATCTGTTTTTTTTTTCTGTCAGTCTCCTCTTTGAGAATGTAAGTTCCACAAGAGCAAAACCCTCTAATTTTGTCCATAGTGGCATTCCTGACATCTATCTAAAACAAAATAAACTGTAGGTATTCAATATATTGTAAGTTCTAATGGCATAATGGTAAGAAGTTGCACTGCCAACCGAAAGGCACACAGTTTGAATCCACCAACTGCTCTATGAGAAAGATGGACAGTATCCTCCCCTCCAATTTACTGCTTGTGAAAATCTTCTGCAAAGTCAGGTATGGGTCAGTTCCAACAACGACAAAAAGATTTGATGCATATTTGCTGAAAAGATAGAAAAATGGACTTCTTTTTGCTAATGTTTTAAAAATTCTGTACAAAACATTTTCTTGACTTTACACCCTAAATATTCTTCATTAGCATATCAATTATAAAAAAAAAGATGTTGTTGTTACACTCTGTCAAGTTGGAAGACTCATAGCTGACCCGTCAGCAGGTTTTCAGAAGCAGTAAACTGCAGGTAAGAAGACTGTGCATCTTTCTCCCAGACAGCAGCTGCTAGATTTGAACCCCTTGCCTTTGGGTTGGCAGCATAACTTCTTACCACTAAGCCACAAGAGCTAGAGCCTCTGAAACACAATTTATATTTAAAATGTCATGTTCAGATGTAGGCAGGTTTTTCAACACATTATAAACGTTAGCTGTACTTGTAAATCTTTCTCATCACAAAGTAACTTACTCCTGCAATTATAGGCAAATTAGTTTACACATAAATCAACTCAATGCTTCCACTAAATTCAAAATTTTAGGAATTTTTCTGCATTTGCTTTCTGATTCACCTCAAAATATTTTCTAAGTTCTTGGCACTATACTTTTTCATAGTCTTTCCTTGTAAACAGCAAAGTAATCTTCAAAAGGGTACTTAAATAAACCAGAAAATGCTTCCAAACTCTGTAAGATAAGTACTCATTTATTATTTTTAAAGTCAAATATTGATATATAATGAATTCTACTTAAATTCTTTATAAATTTAAAATATTTTCTTAATTCAAACACAATATGATTACTTGTTGCTCCTTTCTTTATATTATAAAATTTGACAAGATAACAAGACAGTCATTCATTCAATTGGCAATAAAATAAATACTGACAATAAAATAAGTATGAGGGAGCTCTGGTGGCCTAGTGGCAAGACACTGCACTGCAATCCCAGAGGTACACAGTTCAAATCCACCAGATGCTCTGCTGGAGAAGGAGAGGGCAATCTCCTCCTGTACCAGTCAGATCTGATTTGACGGTACATGTAAAAATAATACAATAAAAATTTAAAAAATATAATAAAAAAATAAATATGACAATACAGACAATTAAAAAAGTTAGAACTGAAATTCACAAATATCTGGGGTATTTGAGAAGATGATCATATTTAGTTTACTCCTAGAATGGTGGGATAAAAACTCTTTTGCTATTTCTACAACCATTTCTCTTACACTGAATACAGGATCAGGATCAGCAAGAGAGACTGTAAGCTTCTCACAAACAGAAGTCCAGTTTTCACAGTTCAGCACATCTGATGGAGGAGCTGAGCATAACATTTGCAAGGCTTCATATCGCACCTGAAATGTTTTAAAAGATGCATATTTATACCTAGCTAGTTGCAAAAAGTCTCAAAAAGAATTCAAATGCAAATCTTGAGAACTCATTTTTTAAATTAAGTACTAACCAGTAAAAGGGTGGGGAGGGAGTTATTGTTTATGTAAAAGAAAAATTAAAACATGAAGTTCATTAGAAGATTCTCTGAGGGTATCTATCTACGCAGAAGAGAAAGAAGGGTGCTGCTGTAACCTGACTTATTACAAAATTGAATCTCTGAATTTTCCAGAGAGCATACTATTTAATCATTCTCAAACCAAATCATTCAAAACAATGTAGTCCAAGGATAACAGAGCATAACGTTGTTGTAATTGTTCATGTACTATCATGTAAACTACTACACACAGTGACCTTCTGAAAAACAGACTGGCAACTTCACTCTACCCTACACTATCCTCACAATCTATGGCATACCAGAGCCCACTGTGGCAATCACACTGTGCCAATCCGTCCTGTTGGGTACTTTCTTTCTCTGACGCTCTCTCCCTTTCTCAGAATGATCTTTTTCCAAAGACTGACTCAGCCTTCATGGCATACCAAGTAGTGAAATAGGTCTACTGAAATAATGAACAAAATAAAACTTCGCTATTCACTCACTTCCAACGCATGAAAAATAGCACCCAGATTTTTCAAAAGTTGAACATTAGTCAACTAAAACAATTGAAGACTAGTGATTACAAGTGAAAATTTAGAGATGAGTGTGTTAATACCTCAGAAAAATGGACACTAAAATTGGGTATCAACTGTCAGGTGATAAATTATATATGTACTCAAAAATGTCTATACATTGTTACAATTAGAGATCTCTTATATACAATTTTGTTGATTGCATGGATCCTGAGGCATATAAAGACTCTATTTAAAAGTAGAAGTCTATTTACAATATTTTAAAAGCCTCTCATTTTAATTAGTTTTTAGAACAAAATTCTACTAAGAACTTATTTCAGGAGCTGAATAAAGATATTCTAAACAAGTAGATTTCCAAATATCCACTCAAAACAAAGGCAATAAAACTCTGATCATAAAGATCAAGTCCTAATTCCAATAGCCTTTGAAATATTATCAATTACTTAATGAGAATCTATAAAATAAGTCAGAATGTAAATTGTTAGTAGAGAAAAAAAGTATTCTCTATGGCTTCTTTAAAAAAAAAAAAAGATCAAGAATGAGTCATAACTTCATTAATTGAATTTCTGGTTAGAGCTAATGGTTAAGTGTTCAGTCAATAATCAAAAGGATAGTGGGTCAAATCCACCCAGAGTGCCTCAGAAAGGCCTCTTATCTACTTTACAAAATGCCAACCACTGAAAACATTCTAGAGTGTTCTACCCTGAAACATACAGAATAAGCTCAGTGGCAACTATGATTCTTTCTGGTTTATTCATTTAACTTAAAATGCTCTGAAAGATACCTTTTCTAATAAACTTTAAAACATATCAAAATAATATTATTTAGAAGTGAAAATAACATAAAGGCCTTGTTTTGTTTTGTTTCACTTTCAAAAAAACCCAACTCTTATTAATGAAGCTATCACTTTAAAAGAAACAACAACAACAAAAAAAAATTGGGGGGGCAGGGGCCTGTAACTTTAAGCCTTCAAAATTAAAACTGGAAATAAAAATCAAATCTTAAAACTATAACCAACCATGATGATTCTCGAAGGAAATGCTCCCTCATTCTGTGACCTTTCAAGATTAGAAAATCTATCAGAAGTATCATTTGAGGATTATCTATAATAAAGAGAAAAGCCTGTTCTTGAAAGAAATAGTCCAGCTGCTACTGATTGTAATCTAAAATGTTATAAATATGTAACATCTGAATGAATGTGACAGCTATCCTTTAAACTTACCTCTTTAGATTGCCCAGGATCCAACTGATCTAAAATCAATTGTAATTTTCCTTGACAAAATTTGTAACTCTGCAACATAATTGACAGAACATTCATTAAATTAGTAGAATTTTAAAGAGATTGCTATACAAGATTTTTCAAATGTAGCTGCAAGCACAAAATGACTTCTGAAAAAAGAAAGGAATGATCTATATTTATTTCACAGCAAACTTAAAATTTTTGTTTCCCAAGCCATTTAAATGGGAACTAAATGTCTCAGTAGAGCATTGTACCATCATATATATGAAAACTATTATTATTTGCTGAGCAACTGCAATATGTAGACTATTACAAGACTCAAAAAATATAAAGAAAAAATATTTTGTACCCAGAAAATGTGAGATCAATGAAACAAAACAAATACACACATAAATGGAAAGGCACTAATAGTACCCTAGGCACAATCTGAACCTTTTTTGTTTCCTTTCTGCTTTTTTTTCCCCTTAGCCTTTCTCTATTCTTCTTATTATTATTTGGGGGTTCTTATTTAAAAAGAAAATACCTGAGGTGGAAACCAATCTAGAAAAAGATTGATAAAAGAGATAGAAGATTTTCCTTTCAAAAAAAAAATTTCAATCTCTAAAATACCTTTACAACTCATCTAAATGTAAAAAAGCTGTATTAGGGCCATTTACTGATTCTTATACAGCAAACCTATAATGAGGATGTCACAAGGTATGGCAAGGTTCAGCTCTAGTATTTACAGAGTCACAATTAGTCTTGGTGGGCTTGATGGCACTTGACAACATCATACTCCATGAGCCATGGTGGTATGCTGGTTAAGAACTACTTTGCTAACAGAAAGGAGGTCTACCCAAACCCATCAACTGTTCAAAAGGAGAAGGATGCAGCAATCTGATTCCCCAAAGATCACGGAATTAGAAACCATCTAGGGCAATTTTATTCTGTCCTCTTGAACTCTACAGAATTCTCTAGATCACTATAAATCAACATTTACTCAATAGCAATGGGTTTGACTTGGGTTTTTAATACTCTTAATTCACAATAATTGTAAAATATAAAAATTGAAGAAGTAACTTCTGCAAGTCACATAATCACCAGAATTCAGATTCCCATCCATGTAAAGATCCTCTTCTCAAAACTACCTTTAAATTTTCCAGAAGTCTTACAAGTCAGAGTTTAAAATTTAAATATATGATGACCATGCATGAAGAGCAATGATATCAGTCTGGAGACAAAGGTGCACCTGATCCAGACCATGGTCTTGGCTATTACTTGCTATGCATCAGAGGGCCAAACAATAACTAAGGGTAAGAATAAGAATTGATGCCTTTGAATTGTGGTCCTGGAGAAAAGTACTGTATATACCATCCTGGAGAAGGTGAAACCAGGCTGTACCTTGGAGGCAAGGATTTTGAAGTTCCAACTCACATACTTTGGGCATATTGCAAGAAGGGACCAGATCACGCCTGGAAGGGTGGAGGGATAGCGCAAGAAAGGAAGACTCTGGATTGACTCAGTGACTGAGGTAATCAGGGTAAATGTGTCAGAGACAATGAAGTTGGCTCAAGACAGAGCAGGGTTAAGGGCTGTTGTACATAGGGTCGCAATGAGTTACAAGCAACTCAATGGCACATAATAACAAAATGCATAAATATATTTCAGTATTAAATCACCAGATTTATACATCTATTATCCTCTTAACACCATGCCTTGAAAATTTAACCTTAACATGTCTAAAATAGAACTCTTAAATTGTATTACAAACCTGTTCATCCTTCAGGAGGAAGCCCTTTACAAGATGGAAAGTCTACGAACAAATCATCTAGATTTTTACTTATGTTAAAAAAAAATTAAAACTCATCAACTTCAACTTCTTTCTTTCTCTTATTTCCTATTTCCAAACCATTATCAGTTTCCAAAGTTCCCATGTCCTAAAGAAAACACCACCAAATTTCACATGTCCTAAAGGCAATGCCACCATTTCTCTGGTAAAACACTGGCCCAGGTACCATTACCTCTAGTTGATGGTGCACGTCGGTTTTTCCTCTTAACAACCCTATACACAACAGAACGAAACCATGCTCATTCTTGTGCCATCCTCTCCATTTCACTGAAGGGTCTTTCTTCTTTGTTCTGACCCTAAATACACTTTACACCAAGCTTGATGTGTTATATAAAATAAGAATAGCTTTTCCTTCTTAACACGTCCAAAGCACATGAGAAAAAAATCTTACCAATCTTGCTCCTACTGTACTTTGTCTAAGACAAATCTGTTCGTTCTTCTGGAAGTCACCAACAAAGTTTAAAGGCACCAACTCAACTTTAGTCTTCTTTACTCATTTTCCAGCTTTCACAATGCATATAAAGAAACTGATAATACCAAGGTCTGAGTGAATCCCCAAAGTGAATTCATTGGTTTTTAACACTTTAAAGAGATCTTTAGTAGTTGTTGTTATGGGCCATCAAGTCACCAGCAACTCACAGCGACCCTTTGTACAACAGCTCTGAAGCCTGCCCTATCCTGAGGCAGTTTCACTGACTCCGGCACATCTATCCCATAGCCCCAGTTACTCTATCAATCCATCCTATCTGTGGTCTTCCTCTCCTGATTATTCCTCTACCCTTCCAAGGATGATGTTCTTCTCCAAGAACTGGTCCCTCCTGGCCACATGCCCAAAGTATGTGAGATAAAGCTTCAAAATCCTAATCTCTAAAGAGAAACTTTTTTTCACCCTCTCCAAGACAGACTTGTTTTCTTGCTTTTCAGGCAACTGAGAGAACCGTGGCTTGTATAAGGCACACCTTAATCTCTAGACTGTGATTATTTCTCTTTAGAACTCTAGAGAGGTACCTGACAGCAGATATTCTCAATATAACTCATCTTTTTATTTTTATATCCAGTCTGCTGGTGTCAAGGCTGTTGACAGTGATTTGAGCAACATAAAAATGTTAACCCTTTCAATCTTTTCTCCATCTTTCTGCCAATTAGCTTGGTATCAGAATTTTTTTTTTACTTATATTCAGATGTAATCCATACTGAAAGCTGCAGTTCTTGATCTTCCACAGGAAAATGTTCAAGTCTTCCTCAATGAAAGCAAGGCTGTGTCATCTGCAGAAAAAAGTTGTTAGGTTGTTGGTAAGTCTTCCTCAAATCCTCATTATAAACTCTTCTTCATTAAGTACATTCTCTCAAATGATCTGTTCAGCATACAGATTGAAAAGGTTTAGGGAAAAGATACATCCCTGACTCACTTTCTTGATTTTGGATCACGTAGTGTCCCCTGTTTTGTTTAGACAACAGCTTCTTGGACCAGGTATGTGTTTCACATAAGCACAATCAAGTATTGTATGTTGTATTGTTCTGATTCTCCTCAATGTTAGTCACAATATTTTTGTGATCCACACAGCCAAATGCCTTTCTATAGTGGATAAAACACAAGCAGATGTTCTTCTGGTACTCTCTGCCAAAATATATGTGACATCAGCAATTGTATCCCTAGTGCCATGGCCTCTTTTAGACCCAGCTTGTATTTCTGGCCATGCTCTGCGGATTGACTGGTCTAGTCATCTCTGGATACTCTTTCATCAAGATATATCTATTTTGGAAGTTTTAGTGTTGCTGTTGTTGGGTGCCATCAACTCAAGTATGATCCATAGTGACCCTCTGAACAAGCAATCTGAACACTATCCTATCTCATACCATCATCACAATCTCCAACACTCAAGTCTACTGCCAGTCATCATGTCAACTAATGTGGTTGTGGGTCTTCCTCTCACCATCTCTCCATTTTTCTAGCTTGATGTCCCTTTCCAAGGAATAACCTGTCTTAGCAATATGCCCAAAGTATGCAAGATGTTCATTTTAATTTTTTTTTCACTTTAATTTTTTTTATTTTAATAGATTTTTAAATTGCTATAAATATTTCTTTCATTGAAAACTCCTAACAATGCAGAACAATGTCCTATCTCCATGTGTGGCTAACTTGATTTGTTTAACTACACATATGTTAGTGATAATAAATGTGATTTGGGGAAATACTTTTAATATGATATTTTTATAAAAAACATTTTCATGTGTGAAAATAAACACCTAGCAAATAATTCTGATGCAAACTACAAGAAGAAGGGGGAAAATACCATGAACTGATAATCTGAAATGTATTTATCATCTTAAAATCACAAGTATTCTAACTGAAAGCACTTACAATCTTAAAATATGGCAAAATCTCTGTCAGCGGTATTTTTGTCTAAATATTACATAAAAAAGCTATATTGTATAATGTTTTACAAAGACATCAAGCCAACTACTTTATTACAACATATGCTGAAGAATATTCACGTTATTCTGCATTTCAAATAGCAAAACAAATCAAAAAATCTCAACATTAATGTACCCTAAACACTTAACATTCAAATTCTTTTTAATGCTTGGTTTGCAAAGTGTATAAACTATTGAATATGCAACCAATTAAAGAAATGTAGCTACTGTGGATGTTCAAATAATATTCGTATGAGAAATAAAGAAACTCGAATAAATTTCTTGGAAACGGTAAAACCAAGTTTCTCCCTGTAGGCTAGGATTCTGAAGCTCTGTCTCACATAATTTAGCCATGTGGCCAGGAGAGACCAGGCCTGAGAGAAGGACATCATGCTTGGAAGGGTGGAGAGACAGGGCAAGAGAGAAAGACCCTGGAGAAGAAAGACCCTGGATGGGTTGATAAAGTAACTAGGGCAAAGAGGTAGGTGTGTCGGAGTCAGTGAGACTGTCTCAGAACAGGGTAGGTGTCAGACCTGTTGTACACAGGGTCGCTATAAGTCACAGGTGACTCAATGGTGCATAACACCACCACCACTAAGACAATTTGTAGAGGAAGTTCATAAATGAGCCCTACGTAGTAGATTCTATTCATGTCCCATTAGCTGGAGTCAGAAAATCAAAAGGGCCAAACTCGCTCAGCATTTCTCAAGCTGAAGGAACTGAAGACCAAAGTCAAACCTCTAGTTGCAATACTTAAAGATGCTTTTGGCAGAACAGTAAATGATCCAGTAATCATTAAAAGACGGAA